CCGCTCTGGGATTAAATCATGGAAAAGAGTTTTCAAAAGAATTGGGCAGTGATCTGACTCGGTTCTAGAGAGGTGGATGACTGTTGTCTTAAGGAAAATATGAAGCCATTCATGGTTGCACCAAGATCCATCAATACACTGCATGATAAGTCCCTTTGATTGCCTAGCACTGGTCCATGTAAACTTTGGTCCAATGAACCTCAAGTCAATCATTTTGCAGTGGTCCATGCAATCCAGGTAGTTTGACACCCTTCCTCTATGAATTGGCAATCCCCCAAATTTTTTCTCGACTGAGTGACTTCATTGAAGTCCCCCATTATCATCCAAGGGAGTGAATGTGACTCAGCAACAATTTTCAAAATTTATCCATAGAACATTTTTACAATCCAAGCTAAGACTAGCATAAATGCAAGAAATAAGTCGAGGGGGATAGGAAGTCACCTCAATGAAGGTGTGCACCTCTTACTCCATACGCTGGACAATGTTAACATTAATTTCATGTGAATTCCACAAAATTCAGATCCCCCCCCCCATATACCCGAAAGGATCCACATGGTAGACACCATCTAGATCAAAGAAGTAGCTTCTTCTCTCAACTTTCTCCCCTCCAACTTTGGTTTCTAAAATTATCACTATGTTCGGTTGGTGTACTTGAATCAATTCCGTCAGGGTATTATTCAACTCTTGGTGTTGAACACCTCTATAGTTACAGAACAATATCTTCATCTCTAACATCATTTCCCTTCCAACATCCTGGGATGGAAGGCCTTCTTTGTTGCATTTAAAAGAATTGTCTCCTCCAACTCTGGATCAAGCCCACCTCCGAGAACCATATTGGACAGATCGCTAAATAGGTCTCCATCGATCCAATCTTCATTCGATGGGTGGATCTTATGATGACGCGAACTCTTAGTTTCCCTTTTTGAATGAATACCTAGAGCACTTTATTTACTGGGCTTAGAGCTATTGTCTCAATTGGGATCCCCCCTAATTCTGCCCATTCTGGAACTAACCCCAACTTCTCCATTTTTGGACAGCCCCTTACCATCTTCCTACTTAGTGCAATCCTCTTCTCTGATGCATTTGGGTATCTCTCCACGTACTTTATTGCTACTTGCTCGATCCGCTGGTTAGGCATCTAAATAAATGAGGGTTTCCCCATAGAGTTCACCCCCTTACTGCCATGATGATCTGCCAATTTATTTTCCATCAAGGCCTCCCATGCTCTTTGTATCTCTTGGTCTTGCTATCCCCATAGGTGATGGGGTGCCCATATTAGAGTGCTTATGGATTCCCAGTCCAGAGGAATCAATAGATGACGAATTTGGAATGTCCATGGGTATGGTGCCACTATTGGGGTTATTGGGCTAGGCATTAGCTGTAGAGAGAATGTTGGAGTGTCCGTAGTATTCCTCCTTTTCTAAGGATTCGAAGGCTGAAAGAAGGTGTGAATCTATCTCCGTATCAAAAAATTGATCTTCTATAGTATCTTGTGCATTACTTGACTACAAGTTAGACATTGTAGGGCTATTCTTTTCCTTCACATCGTCATCATTCTGGTTCCAATCTCCTGTCTCTCAAAAAATAAACTTCACAATCAATTGGATTTTGGTTGGTTTTGAACCAACCTCTATAATGGACTTTTCAATATTTTTTGAACCTCTTTGATAGCCTTCTTATCCTCTCTCTTGGCTCTATTGCTCTCTTGCACTTCTCGATAATTTATTACAACTAAGGTTAGTTTGATCTGCTGCAATTAGTCAAGATAAACTCTCTTGGATTTTGTATCCTCTATCTTTTTATTCTCTCTATCACCTTTTTTTGGTCACTATTTTCTTTACCATTGGAAAGTCCAACTTTTATTTTGTTGTTGGCCACGTGTTGGTTGGAGATTGGTTGAAGTATTAGTTGCCATGTGGACTCTTGTCGACTGTTCATCTGCTCTCAAGTGGGGGCCGAACTGCTCTTCGGTAGACTGTTGTGTTCTTCGGCGGTCAGGCTACATCTTAGGTTATGAACTTGACTCGGATCTGCAGGTTTTTCCTTGTTTCGATTCTTTTTTTTTACAATACTGGCCAACCGTCCATTCATCGTAATCCCCGCACCCCAGATTAGTAGGTTGTCTCCTTGGGTGGGTCTTTAACACCATTCTCCTTGGTGGTCCTTCGATTGTGCCGCTGGACATAGCTTTTTTCAGTGTCCCACTCGTCCACAAAAGAAACACGAGTAGATCCCCTCATAAAAAACTGGGCATGTTTCGGCCTCAATCTTGTTCTTTGTCACAAGCGGTTTTTCTAGTTGTATTTAGATGCATATTCTCACAAATCATCCTCTCTTTCTTAGAGGTGTATGTATCGATTTGGAGCAATTGCCCCAACTCGGATCCTATTTTCTATAGGATGAGTGGATCATAGTATTCCACCGAAAGTTCAGGGATCCGTGTCTAGATTTTCGTTTTTGTTACGGTTGTCATGGTTGGTCTGAAGTCGGCCTCCCATTTATGGATTGAGAGGTATTGATTGATGAGAAACCAAGGGCCACCATGGAGCGCCTTAATGTAGTCCCTTTTTGTATCAAAGGAAACTGTGAAGTATCTCATACCTAAGTCGATGATCTCGGTTGTAACATACTTTTTAATTTGGTGGAAAGAAAGGTGTAACTCACCGACCGCCCAAAAGGTTTAACTATATCGGATTTCTTTCACAGGTTCCGGATCCATCTCTTGTCCTATTTTGTGAGTCGAATATGCACTCTCGATGAAGAGTCTTCCTCTTGCTCATCCGATAGCAGCTCCTCGTCATTAAGATCCTTCACATATCTCACATCCTGTGTTGTTTTCTGGTTTTGAATCATGTCTTTGTAGGATAGTCTTACAAGGGTTCTTGTATCTTCCAGTCTGGTTTAGATCCCAGATCTGTGGCTTGAGTCATGTCCTTGATTTTGTTTATGCTTCGTTCATGGTAATCTTCCTCTTCTTCACTCACTTTTCCGGTGGAACTTTTGCCTGTGTCGAGCATCTTCGCCGTTTACAAGGGGCACATTAGAATTGCCAAAATTGTCACTCTCTCTTTCTTTAATGCCTCACTTAAAAGAAACAACATCATTCTTCCCCTCAAATTTCCCTCTCCCAACCCAACCTTTTAAGGATGTAATAGTTTGGACTACCTAGAAGGAAATATACAGTCTTGATAATAAAAAAATATACACCATCTGACGTGGATTCTACATATTAGGCCCCTGAAGTTTACGAAAGTATTACTTAGACCCCCCACAGTCAGAACTGTCACAACTAGACCGGATGTTATTCGGTGCACACATATTCACCGGCTAGTATTATCAAACTTAGGATTGACATACCCACGACAGTTTTTTTTTTTTTTTACACAATTTCACTCAATTATAAATTACTACATATATTCAAGTGAGGTAAGTAATCTCCGAATTGGATGATCGATAAGAGAAAAAAACAAAAACCAAAAGAACAGGGGCGGAGTCAGGATTTTGCTTCAGTTGGGGCAATCTATTCATAACTGATTAAAAAATAATTTTGTCTAATTAGATTCAAGTTTAAGAGTTCGTCATTAAGTTCGTAACAAATGAGATAATGGATTACACATAATCAAAATATAATCTCAACTAGAATTTCAAGAAATCTATTAACGCAATTTAATCATAGGGAAGAAAAATAGTACTAACCAAGAATTTTAGATAATCAATCTAAACATGAGCTTTAACAAAAATTCAAAATAGTTGAGTGCTGACCCAAGACGAAACAAAAAAAACCTACATAAAATCATAAATAATACACCAAACAACCATCAATTCTACAAGAGTTAAACTAATTTTCTAATATAAAAAATCTGATTTTAGATTAGTGCTAATACTACTATCACAAAATTTGGTTAATAGATTACCTCTCCTTAGTTTCAACATAATCTTCTAGGATTTTTTTAAATTTGATTTGTACGATGATTGAATCCAATAGGGTGATTTGTTGATGAATATACCAAAGGAACTAATAAAGAAATTAAATAAAAGAAAGAAGAGGGCTGCCGGTTGGAAGTCTGGACAAAGAAGTCTTCTTACAAAAAAAAAAGTAGCGCGTGAAGAAGAGCCGCCAAAAGTTAGATTTTAAGGGTATAAAATTATATAAACATATCATATACTTTAATAAAATTTCAGTGGGGTAAGTTTAAGAAATTCTTAAAATTTTTAAAATTACACTTAGGTCTCAAATTTTTTTAAAAATTCAGTGGGGGCAACTGCTAGGCGTGAAAAATGAGGAAGAACTGTCAAAAGTTAGCTTTTAAGGGTTAAAAATTATATTAATATATCCTATACTTAAAAAAAATTTCAATGGGATAAATTTAAAAAATTCTTAAAATTTTTAAAATTACACCTTAATCCCAAAATTTTTTAAAACTTTAGTGGGGGCAGCTGCCCATGTTAAATCCGCCGCCGCCAGAAAAAGAAAGATGTATAGACACTAAAAGCCAACTAGAAAGGCTTTTGTATAGGTGAGTATAGAGTTATTTTTAAATTATTGTTTACACTCCTTGTATATATATATAGATCTAACTTTAGCCGCATCCGCTCTCAATTCTAAAATTTCACTCATTCTCTTCTGGTTTGTATATTCCCTTCAAATACACCCCCTTGCCATGACGAACCATTACTCACAATTACAAAAAAGAGTAATGTTATCATTATTTTTTTAAATGCCAATTTTATCCCCATCTTCCTCACGACCACTACACCCCATATCTGTCTCCATTTACACAAATTACTGCACTAACACACCACTGTTTGTAGCACTTCCCCCCTTCCTACCTGATTTAAATACACCACTGAACCATCGTGTTAATATTTAATTTTATACAATTAATATTTAATTTTATCAAATTAATATTCAATTTTATTAAATTAGCATTAAATTAACCTTAAATTTTATCAAATTATTATTCACATTCATCAAATTAGCATTTAATTCATCTAATTAACATACAATTTATTTAAACTTATACCAAATTAATATTTAATTTCATCAATTTTATCAAAATAACATTAAACTTCATCAAATTACTAGCAAATTAATATTCAATTTAATCAAATTAACAATCAATTTTGTTAATTTAACATTCAATTTTATCAAATCAATATTAAATTCCATCAAATTAATACCAAATTAACATGAAATGGATATTAAGTTTTATAAAGTTACCATTTTATTTCAGCAAATTAACATTCAATCTCATCAAATCGATATTCAATTTTATCAAATTAATATTAAATTTTATTAAATTTACACCAAATTAACATTTAATTATATCATATTTACATTTAATTGAATCAATTTAACATCCAATTGATCAAGTTAACATCATTTCTTTAATTGAATCCCAAATTAACATTCAACTTCATCAAATACATACTAAATTGTCATTCAATTTTATGAATTACCAAATTAACTTTCAATTGTATCAAATTAACATTCAATTTTATCCAATTAAGGATCAAATTTATGAATTTAATATTTTTTATCAAATTAATTTTTTTTAAATTAACATTCAGTTTCATCAAATTAACATTATGTTTAATTTAGTTTCATAGTAAACATTGTGTTTAATCCAATTAACGTTTAATTTAATGTAATTAATACCCAAGAGACGTTGGACATGTATGTAAAAACAGTTAATATGTTAAATAGTGGATAACTTCAGAATAATAACTTTTTCGTTTGCTCCATTACTACACAAACTCTGGCAATGGGTGTCAATAAAGTTTCAAAATCGGAAGAGAATGTCTCTGAAAATAAGCCTATTTACAAAAAGTGTGTATAAAATTTACCCGGAATTATTTACTTTAAGCTGTTCAGAAAACCAATTACTTTTAAGTATATTGCCTGAGTTCAGAAGAAAGAGGGTGATGAATGGGCAGGTAGTGGTAGGACTGCAGTGGGCATCCCCCAAAACTTGTATAGCAGAGAGGAGCTTCAGAGTCTTTGGTGTATCTAGTCTCTTAGGAGAAATCTCTTGGAATGGTGCAGTGGTAGAGTCTAGCCTATTAGGGAGTAGTCGTTAGGGTTCGAATCCTATAACCATTGCTTTACAATCAAGTGACACCCACAAATCAGAAAAATAGCTCTGATGGAACAAACAATTTGCAAGGAAACAGATCCAACTCTCTGGCGCCAATCTTTCAATGATATGTATCACATTAGATCATGATCGAACAGACAAAATGAAATGCTTCAATCGGACCATCAATAAACTCAGCACATAACTGAGTATAGTTTTCAAACACAAGTTGCATCGTTTAAAACAAAACCACATCTCATCAACTGATCTTTGAGAACCATCTAAACAAAACACACTTCAACATCAGAGTTTTTTTGCAGCAGCTGTAGAATATTGAAGGAGCAGTATTGCGTCTAATGCTCAATGTGGTGCACATACTTTATCATTATCGAGATTGGAAACACCTTCCTAGTTCCATCTCATTGCAACTCATAGGGAGGAAAAAATGAAACCCAATCTTCCCTCGTTGGTGGACTTCAGCTCAAGTTTCTGAAATGGGCTGCAAGGTTGGTTCAGGTATATCCTCTTTAGTAACTTGCGTATTCAACAATTTAAAAGGTTAGAAAAAAACATAGTGTAAAACATAAAAGGATGAGTGATCTGGTCTATATGACCTTATATACAACTCCATGAAATGACAAAACAGGAAACTGGTATCTTAGGAATTTTTTGGGAGGTGATACCTTAGGAATTTTTATTCCAAAGAAGAGCAAAGAGTAAATTTAAACTATGACAAGATTTTAAGACAAAACAAGGAAATAAAACCAAGGGGTTACCTGCTATTGGGATCATAATAGAAACCATTGATGGAGCCATCACTACAGGAGAAGCAAACATAGTAGAAACCAGCTATGGTTAACCCACAGTCAGTTCCAACATTCACAAAGTATTGCTCTTTCCATCTCTACACGGTCAAAGTCAGAAGATGGAAATTAATTATGACATAGCGTAAACTCCCTTCACTCAATGAAATCGCAAAAAACACACTACCATAAATATGCAGGGGTAGTTACTTAAGTCCAAATATCTCCCACCATCAACCTCCACTTTGCTCTGAGAAGGGCAGAGAAAATCAAGAGAGCGTATGTTTTGAATGGCAAGGAAAAAGGTTAACTATATTACCAGAAGGGGTGAGAAAGATGGAAATTTGGTCCAGTGCCTTATGTCGTCTTCAGGCCTGTTCATAATTTCCAAACCAATCATGGGGAGAATGGTTGTTGGCTGTAATCCAAATAGCAGTAAGTTGTTAGACATGAACTTACTTTGCTTCCCACTTGCCAGTGAAGAAAGTATGATTCTTTGTGTCAACAATCTCTCCTTCCCAGAAAGTAACAACCTGAATACAAGGTAAAACGACAAAAAAGGCACTTGAACAGCCATTTGTATGGGGAACTTAAAATCTAGTCGCTACTCCTAGTGGCTAGTAGCCTAATACTACTAACTCATTGGGAAACTAATCATTGACAGTAAAGAAGATAAGATGGTGGATGTCATAAAAAATTCGAGCCTCCAACAGGTTGAACTACACCTGATTCCCCCTCCCCCAAAAAAAAAAAAGTCATGGGAGTCCACCCAACAAGCACTCCATAGTCGTTTTGTTATACGTCTTCCCATGTATTCTAATAAGTTTTGTTTCCATCCCTATTCTAATTTTAGTCACATAAGCAACCCCATGGGAAAAATTTATCATTAAAATAATGAAACTAACAAATTGTTTGCAAATTCCTCCCTTTATATTATTTCATTATCCCTTTTAAGAAAAAAAGCCTGGGAATACTATGAAATAGATCACTAGTGAAGTTTATACAATCACATATTCAAACTGACTTAGATATTTGGAAAGACTGATAGAAGGCCCATTACTAACAATCACCAAGAGTTTGAGTCGTGAAAATAGCCTCTTTGCATGGTGGTAAGGCCGCGTATATTGGACCCTCCTTACACCTCGCAGTGGCGGAAGCAGGGAGCGGGGAGCAAACCACCCTTTTTGTTTTGCCTTATTAAAGGTTTACACCAGAAATTTATTCCATCTAATTTTGGTAAAAGACTTGACTTATGCTGGATCTATAAATGGTAGCATATAAGTGCATTGGGTGATGCTAAATATATATATACTCATGAAACCAAAACAAGAATGCCTGCTTTATGAATACTGTCTTGCTAAACTACTCCCAAGTTTTCAACATCTCACCTTGTAGATGAAAGGTATCGCAAACTTCCTAGCTATTCAGTTTTACGATCTTCTCATTAACTACTGATGACATTCAAGAGATTTGCTTCAAGTAAAATTGCTACATATGCATCATTAAACAGAATCCAAATGAAAAAATGAAATAGATACTAATAGCTATCTTTCTCAAACAGAAGTTTCTTACTGGTGAGTCTGCCATAGGAACATCAAGTGCTTCCATAGTGCCACATAGATAGCCATGGTTGAGGTCACAACCTTGAATCCGTACATTAACTCTCCATGCTTCGTCCTTTTGAAGAATGGAGACATTCTGAGTACCAGAAAATGCCTGTAAAAAGTTAGGCAGTTAGCTCAAAGGACACTTCTCAATTTCCAAAACAAGGCGTACAATATCTAAATAACCATGCTGCACAAGCTAATGTTCACTTAAGTCTCAGGCTTGATAGTTGTTATTCTTCAATGAAGATGTTGGACTCCAAATTACATGGTTCCTTTCCATTCCCAGTACCTAAGCACCTCAAAAAGTGTGGATCAACTCCTACGTTTACTTTTATTTGTAAACAAACTCATACTTTTCCCGGGACATATTTATAGACAACAGTTTATAAGTTGAAAGAAGTTATTTGACATCAATGATCAAACAAACAATGTAAACAATAAGACCGGAAGAATACATTAATATGCTTTGCGTTTCTTTTTTTCCTTTTTGTTTTCTTTTTGAAGGTTGGGATTTAATAAGTATGCAAGGGTATGATGATATAGAACAACTGCATAAAGCTTAAACCACCATTAAAATTAACTGGGAAACCAGTAATCAAAGTTCTAAAGGTCATCACAATTACTTTATGGCTCAAAAAATTTTGGTGTATCTGTAAACAACCTGCACTGTGCCAAGCTACCAGCTGTAAGTTATTCATTATGTTGGAAGTTCGCAAATTATAGGTTTTATAGAATAATAACGGTGGTGGCAGAAACATGCTAAAAATGGAACCACAAATAGCAGGTTGTTCACTACATATCCTAACATTATATGTCTATAGACTCTATACAGCTTGATAATTGATATCCATCCATTGCAGAATTATCCAGAAACCTGATCTACTTGCAGATAACATCTGTCGCATATGTTCTGAAACATAGTATACTATCATTTCAGAACACTTCAATTTAGCGACAAAAACACTACATCATAATTTCCAATGTAGCAGTGTCATACAAATAGAAAGATATGTGTTTCATAAAGCATCCACTTTTCCACATACAATTGACCATGCATTAGAGAATTTCTCAAGGTATTGCATTGACAATGCAACCTCTATAACCCTAATCCTACCCTTGAGTACAACATGTACATCCCCGTTTCCTGCATTCCAAGTTAAAAGAAAAATTGTGTACTTGCAGCACAAGTTCCATCCCTACCATACCCAGCTTACTAAGACTTTATATCACATGTGTGGCATAAATTTGTGTCTCTTAAACATTTTGTAGAACTACCAAGCCTTTCACACCTTTTTTGGGTAGGTCAGCCTTCCACACCTTGCCTTGCTAGCATGGCCAAACTTCTTAAAACTGATGCACAAATAACTAATCATCAAATAACTAATCTGCCATTTGTGTGACTATAAATATTAACCCTACGCTAAGAGAGGTAACCACCCTTAGTTAGTGTATTGAACATATAGGTCAATCAATAAAAAAATGTATACTAGATATATGAAATGGCTAACATATTAAGTGTGTGACCTCCATATATATCACCAAATGCTACATGAGAAATGACATAAATAGCAAAACCAGGTGTGAGTACATTCACCTGTCCAACACTTAGAAGCGTACAAGGAGGTGGTGAAGTATGTTCATGATTTGAGCCTACACAATCAAGGGGAAAATATACTAGGAATTAGATAGGTAAATTATCTGATGAAGTTACTCTGTTACTGCTAAAACAAAACAACACATCCAGTTAATTCTTTTGATTGCCAAATTCGACACAAACCTAAGACTATTGAAAGCAGGCTCAAATGAATTTGTGTTTGTTAATCAAAAAGAGATATATGTAAACCCATGGTAATCATCATTCTCCAAAAAATGTTCAAGACAATGAAGAACTAGAATACAATTCGTGTACGGGTGCTTCAATATAGAATACAGAACCAAAATGGGAATATTATTTTGGAGTTCAATAACAAAATTTGAAAGGAAAAACAAAAGAAATTGGGAGAAAAATAATGATGGGCAAACAGATTAGATCTCATTTTCCAAGAAAAGTCAATGTGCTAAAAAACTTTTCATTGTAGGATAGCTGTGGAATTTATCCTCGCATCTACAGTACTCCATAACAGAGGCCCAATGTGATTGGTAGAGATGTACAACGTGGTAAAAAAATAAAGCGGCACCATGTTTAAATGAAAATTCTAAGGAGCATGAAATGACAGCTCACTCCTCTCTGACATCCTAGTTAATAGGGAAGGGAAATTCAATTTGATTAATATTTTTGGCATTAAGCAAGCTTATAATAAACCCAGTTGAGGTAAAAAGACCTAAATTACAGTGTATTGGAAACAATATAAAGCACATTAATTCCATTAACACGAGAATATACATATATCAGAACAAGCGGACTGTAGAGAAAATCACAATATTTAGCATAAATACACATAAATGTTTTAGCTTCTTTCTTTGGAATTAACTACCTACTGTATTTTAGTAAACTTATTAAAACAGAATTTGAATTCAAATACAACTCAATTGACTAGTTTCTGTTAGAAAGCAACCGCTCCCTAGGATTGAGCTCCTCCTCATCAAACGCCTCTGACTCGGTCACATGGAGAATATCTGATTCAACACAATGCAATGAACATATAGTTCTACAAAATTAAGCAAGAAGTTCTGAGACAGCAGTCTACCAAAAAAGTAAAACTTCATTAAAAAAAAAAAAACTGAAGAATCCCAAAAAACTAAAAATTCCAATGGTTTTCTAGTAACTGCAATCTAACCCCTAATGTATGGTTTTCAGGCAGTAATATTATGGGTTTCAAAACAAAACAAAAAGAGTATTTTTTTTATTTTTTTTTTGATTCATCCCGTTAATTTCAACCTTAAAATGGGTTTCTTTTTTATTTATCCAAAAGGAAGTTTCTCTGGTGCCAAAAGAAACAAAACATATGAAAGAAAATTGAAAATGAGATATCTAGAAACTAGCTCTATCTCTCTACCGTCAAAGTCATCTCTACAAATCTATAGGAGTAAGAATATTCATATTTTGGAATCCGATAGAACAAAATAACATATACAGATATTTTTACACATTCAGTTTTAGAGATCAAACAAACTGCCAATAAATAATTGAATAACAAAGAAATCACAAGAAAAGTTAGTTCCTGAAAGTTGAGAAGGTGCTGAAGAACTCTCTGGCATGTTTTCTTATGAAAAATCCCCTGAAAAGTTTCAACTTAGTGATGATATAAGAAGAAAAGAATCATTGAGGACACCCGGGCTAAGGGCATCTCCAACAATACTATCTAAAATAATTACTCAAAATTTATTTAAATATTGCAATATCTACTTTAGTTAACTACTTTTCAAATTCGCTCCTCCAACCACATTATCTATTTTAGTTAACCGCTTCAACTAACTTTCAATAACAAAATTTAAAAAATAGCAATTCAACTAAATTTAACCAATTATGGGCTACAAGAGTAAATATCATAAAAGATGGGCTACAAGAGTAAATATAGTAAAAGATGGGTGATCAGTACTCCATCTCACAAACCCATTTGAAATGATCAAAAACTCATCTCAAGAATCTCCAAAACCCATTTCCAAAATCCAAACTCACCACCACAAACTCTCTCGATCTCCAAAACCCATGTCCAAAATCAAAAAAACCACTGAGCGACGCAATCCATTTTTGTGATAGAATAAAAATTAATGGTTGATTTCAATCCATTTTTCCTCGGTTGTCTTCTCTCCACCTAACCCGTACAGAACGACGCAAAGAGAGAAATGGGTGGGGTTTTCAGTCCATTTTTGGGTGTGATTTTTTGGGGTTTTGACTTGGTTTTTTGGTGATTTTTTTGGGGGTTTCAGTGGGAATCGAGAGAGAGAGAGATGGGTGGGGTTTCAGTCGATTTTTGGGTGGGATTTCGTGAGTTTTTTGAATTTTTTGTGGGTTTTGTCAGTGGGAACCAAGAGAGAGAGAGAGATTGGGTATGTATATAGGATTTATATGGCATATAGCATTTGGGTGAAGTCTGTGTGGTTGATGGAGGCGATGAACGAAGATGGAGAGAGAGAGAGAGCATACCTTCGGTGGACGATGAAGTCGCTGTGTGCTTGATGAAGACGACGAGTGAAGACAACCAAGGAAAATGGGGGTGCTGTAGACCGAAAAAATTGGCGCAAAAACAAACTAGCGAGCTTCCTAGGGAAAGAAGGTTACGGGGAATAGCAATGGCAGATGGCTAGACTATTGGAGACATAATTTTGAAATAAACTGTTTAAAATAGCTAACAAGGGTAATTATTTTAACTAATTTTTAATAATAAAATTTAAAAAATAGTAATTTAATTATACATTATATAAATTTAATCAATTATGGGTTACAAAAATAAAAATCATAAAAGATAGGCTGCAAGAGTAAATATTATAAAATATTTGAGAGATTTTGCTAAATTTTTGAATTTTTTTAGAGAGTTTTACTGGATTTTTAGAGAGGAATCGTCTTCCCCTATTCTAAACAATAATACAAAAATCACAAATTAATTTAATCAGACAAGTCCCATCAAGTAAACCACAAAATCCAACAAATCAAAAATTACAATTCTTAATGGGGAGTCTGTTGAACTGAAAAGATCCATATCTTTTTGAAAAATCAGGCTGTTCACAGAGGAATCTGGAGGTTTGGATGTTGCGTGAGGGATTTTAGGGGAATTTGGAGGTAGAGATGGGGAGGGGAAGAGTAAAAGTAAGAGATAGGAAGAAGAGGAGGAGATAGTGTGGGGTTGAGAAAAAGAGATGCTCCACCAACGAAGAGAGTCTGAGAGTGCAGGGAGACTCTGAGAGAAACGAGTGAGAGCTCTGATGAAGACGAGAACCCCAAAGTTGGTGCAAAACTCTAATGAAGAATGATCCAAAAATGGGGGGAAAGAGCTCTGATGAGAGAGGGTCTTGCTAGCCAGAACTGATGAGTGAGAATGAGGGAAGACAGATTAGCGAGTGAAATAGAGAGCTAGTTGGAGCCAAATTTTTTGGATTGGCTCAACAAAATAGCTAAAAGAGATGCCCTTTGTTGAGTTGGTTGGAGTTGTTCTAATGTCACTTTGCATTAGATGCTTCAATTCTTAATTTGTCCTTTTATCTCTTTCAATATTAAAAATTTTAATTTATATCCTCATTATTATAAATTGGTAACAACTATTGTTCAATTTTTCACCATACATTAAAATAGGTGAGTTAAAAGTGTTTTAGTCATGAGTTTATATATAAATTTACAAGCGATTAATGGTTCATATGAGTTACGCATAATAAACTTAACTATTATTTAATTAACGAAACCTTATTTTCAATACATAAAACAATATCAAATTAATCACGCTCATCTGTTCATCCTCATGCCTAAAGCACTTAGAACTCTTATACTTCAATTTAATTATTTAAAACCTCATCCATAAAACTAGTTGCTCTGATCCGAATTGGATCTGTATCTGAATCTGATTATTAGAAATAGATTGATATTTTTTTTCATCAATAATCCAAATTTGATCTTATATTTAACGGATTCGAATTTTAAAAAAAAATATATATATATATATATATATATATAATAGTAACTAGTTTTGTTTGTTTTTAACTTTTCACAGTTCATCGTTTGAGAATTATAAATCCAACGATCCTAATTTGTCTTTTATTTCTTTTACGACTCTAAAACTCTCATTTCTTATATAACTGTCCCCCTCTCTCTATCTCTTTATATCTCATATAGTCAACTCTATATGTATATAACTCTCTTTCTCTCTCACGTTTTAAACACATTTTTTCATTTCTATGCTCCCTCTCATGTATATATATATATAATAAGCGGTAATAGGGCTTGATAAACTCTTCTTTTGCATCATGAAGAAGGTTTTACAAGTGATAGGTAGGTTTACAAAACTAGGGGGATTGTAATGTAAGCTCTGAAGCTCTTATGTAAGCTCTGAAGCTCTTATGTAAGCTCTGAAGCTCTCCTCTTTCGAGAAGTGGGAGCTGCCTTATGTAGAGGTAAGGGACTCCGGATTCTTCTGAGGTAATAATTCTGCCTTTCTCTTTTACTCAGGGTAAAGTAATTCACTTTCTTGCTTTCGGCTGAAAAGTGGAGTAAGATTCTTTTACCCAGGTAAATAGGACATGTTGAAAGAGAGGACTAGTGGGTCCTTGTTTGTCCTGTAAATCCATCTTTCGGTGGAAAAGCAGATCTGTGGGTCCTACTTTTGTCTGTGAGAATCCTGCTTTTAGGGAAAGGGGATCCTATGCAGACATGTGATATTATCTTTACACAGAGTGGACAACTTTTCTTTCTTTACTGAAGAAAGTAGTGATTGAAGCCACTTTATGTAAATAATAATTCACGGGAGTGCAAGGTCAGGTGTGAGGTCATCAACATCAAAGTCTTCTATTCCTTCAAAAGGATCCTGAGCATATCCTGCTGGGAGTTCTGAGGAGGAACTTTGAGAAGATGATTCACTATCTGAGTCAAGTTGTTCAAGGAGCTTCTGGAGGAGCTTTGCCTTGGTCTTTTTCTTGCTAGATTTCTTTTGAGAACCTTTAGATGAAGATTCTTTCTGGTTGGACTTGCTTTGTAGGAAGGTTAGACTGGCTTGAATGAGCGGGCAGTTCCTTCATTGGAGTTGCTGGTGGTAAGGGACCTGGAACTACTACTGGAGTTGGTACCCTTACTGGGAAGTCTCGTTTCACCATTGCGATAGTGTCGCTATGCTGAAACCTGGGCCACCATTTGGCATAGAATTGTCGGGTCAAGTTGAATCCCACAATTTCCCAATGCCATTTTAGTATCCACAGGACTTTGTACCTGCAAAGAAATATTAGTAATAAGGGTAATGGGGACTCCTGTTTACTAGGACGGTAAAGGGAGTAAAAGATATTAATCTGATCTTTCAGATCAGCTGGAAAGATTTCATCAATGGGACCATGTTGATGCCACCACTGATTAAACCATGCAGGAATATGGCTTCTGAAATCTTTATGGAAATTAAGGAACCAGGAATGGGACAAATCCTCATTCTGGTAGAGTAATATTTTTGACCACGCTTCGATGTAGTCATAATAATTAAACTGTCTGTTGTGGTAAGGAAGTTCTCTGAGCAAAGAAGGGTGAGAACCCCATTCATCAACAGAAATGATCTTGGTAATATACAAACTATGATAGATAATCTTAGTTGGGTTTATCTTATCATGAATAGGCTTGGTAAATATGGATTTGGTATAGTAGAGAATATCTTGGTAAAAACTATGGGGTTTTTCCAAGTCTACTGGGATATAGGTCCAACCTTTTGGGAGGTAGGCCTGTACAAGGTCTATTGGATCCTTGTATTTGGAATGGGCTAGTTCAATGGCTAGAACATTCTCGAAATGGGCTTTGACGTAGTCAACCTTTGGGCCTAATTGGGCTACAAAGGGTTGTGAGGCCTGATAGGGGTTTGTCATGGCACTAGTGGTCCTGACAGGTTGCTGTTGGGCCATTTGGGTAAAAGTTAATGGGTTAATGGTGGTTGATACGGCTACTGGCCGGATAACCAAAGCAGATTGGGCTACTGGCCTTGAGGGCTGAGTAGTTGGTAATAAAAATCTGTTTGACAAGACTAATGGCAAGTCAGGTTCAGATTTGGGTAATATTTTGTCCTTTCCCTTCCCCCTGGAATTTTTGGAGGAGGTGGAGGATGAACTAGGTTTCCTGTGCTCCATGGGGTTCCTGCAAAAACTCTCTGGTTAGGAAATCAGGAATATAATTATGTTCGCCTTTGATATATTCTATATCAAAATCGAAAATACTTAAAATAGATTGCCAACGAGCAAAAATCTGCTTAGCAGCTATATTTTTGACATCTTTGGTTAATACATCCTTGGCTGATTTACAGTCAACCCGCACAAGGAACTTCTGATTCAATATATCATCTTGGAATTTAGAGATACACAGGACAATAGATAAAATTTCTTTTTTAATAGTGGAATAATTCTTTTGGGTCTTATTCCAAATACCAGAATGGAACCGAACAATCTGTTCAGGAGAATTAGGAGATTCTCTCTGAAGGAGGATTCCACCATAACCAATATCGGAGGCATCTGTCTGGATGATTTTGAAGGAATCAACGGACGGAATACCAAGACAGGGAAGGGTTTTGATGAACTTCTTAACCTGTTGAATAATAGAAGTATGAACAGTGGTCCAAGGAGGAGGATTTCCTTTGAGCCTGTCATACAGAGGTTTGATGGTTTGCCTAAGATCCTGATAAAAGTCAGAAACATAGTTTAGGGAACCTAAAAACCTTTGAAGCTGTGTTTTGTCCAGAATTTCATCTGGGAATTTATCTGCAAACTGGATGGCTCTACTAATAGGAGTGATAGTAGAATCCTGGATGTTGTATCCTAAAAACCTTACTGAGGTTTGGAACAACTTAATCTTAGGTGCAGATAAGACTAATCCATTTTGTTGGATAATGGTACTGAAAGCATAAAGGTGCTTCCAGTGTTCTTCTATTGTTCTGGAGAAGATGAGTATATCATCTATATAAACAATAGAGAAATGACTAATACAACTAAAGACTTCGTTCATTATGTTCTGGAATTCACTTGGGACATTTTTTAACCCAAAGGGCATGACATTCCATTCATAATGTCCGAAGGGAGTAGTAAAAGCGGTTTTATACCTGTCCATAGGGTGGATCTGTATTTGCCAAAAACCACTTTTGAGATCAAATTTGGAAAAGATAGTGGACTTATTGAGTCTCTTTATCAAATCCTGTTTGTTAGGTATAGGGTACCTAATCCATTCTAAAACCTTGTTCAAAGGTTTGTAATTGATGACTAACCTTGGGACTCCTCTTTCTAACTCTGCATTTTTGACTACGTAGAAAGCAGGACAAGACCAAGGTGACTTGCTATTCCTAATGATACCATTTTTTAGTAACTCTGAGATTTCTTTTTTACAGATCTCAGTAGTTTCATGGTTCATTTGGATTGGTCTGGATTTAGTAGGGATATTGTCCTCAGTAAATCCTTTAATATATGGAAGTCTGACCATGTGTTTCTTCCTATGCCAGAATGCTGTAGGAAGGGAGGAACAAACTTCTGACTCAAGTTTTTCCCTAAACCTATCGATCTTCTGTTGTAAGATTGGATTGGTTAGGTTTTCTTTAGTTCTGAGGTGGTTAATCTCTTGTTTAAGAAATTCCACTTGCTTGATTTTCCTGTTAATAACATTAAGGGACTGTGAGACAGAAATGTCTTTTAGCTGCCTTA